CATTTCAGATACATGAGGAAACACTAATGAATCACGTACAATTGCCTTGCATAGGAGAATGCAGCCAAAATTTAGCCAGACAGATGGAGGAAAAAGGGGAAAAGGACACAAAAATACAGCCACAACAAATACTAAGCTGCAGCTTTTGGCTTTAAAACCTAACAGGGGATGTTTGGGGATTATTTCTAACCCCTGGAGAAATTCTCTCAATAACTGTCCAGAGCAGTTTTGCTTAAAGAAATTACAATAGCACTGACAGTAGAAAAGCTAAGTCCATAATCAGAAAGTTTACAGCTTGTTTTGCAAGTGAACACTGTCCAAACTGTCTCTTTCCTCCACAATCCAAGGGCCTGTCACTGAACATCAAGCCATGACATGAAGCACCTTAATGCTGCTCTCTCTGAGGGAGTCATGATCCATGTGCTGGAGGGATCCATCCATTTCAGTGAATCCAAAGAGGTTTCTCAGACAGCTTTGATGTTTACTGGAGAGGAAAGCACATACTCCACCAATAGATGAGACAACATGGCACAGAGGGAACGAAGATACGATGACAACAGGGCAAGAAAGGTCTTCTTTAGATGGGGAGCATAGCAGCAACGACTGGAATGACAGGCTGAACAAGCAGAAGCAAGCCAAGGAGCCTAGAAATTAGAAGACTGACTGACTGGAATGCTCTCTCTATAAAATTTGAGATTGTGCAAATTTCTGTACTGATATATTTCTGACAGGAAATTCGGTATGCATTCATATGAATCCACCCTTGCAGAAGAAAGCAGGGTAAGACAAAGAGAAGAGTTTCACCTAAGATCAGTAACTTTACAGAACTCTCCAGTGGCAACAGGAGAGACCCCCAAAACAGAGATGCCATCTCTTTATTCTCCTTTGGGACTGAATGAATTCCCTTTGAACCAGCTGACATCTCCATCCAGTTTAGAACTGAGCCACACTTGCTCTGTGATAGTACCACATACCAGACATGCTACTGCTGACCTGAAACTAAAAACTGGCCTATAAACTTCCATGGACAAGGTTTGAGGCCTCCCTCCACAGTTCTTCAGAAAGCAAAGATGCTGCATGCTGCCAGTGTTTCCCAGTCCCTGCTCTACACAGGGTGCTGAGTTATAAGCATGTAACTCATTGTCTGAAGTGCCTAGGCTTGAGGGCAACTTAGAAAAAAACATTGAAGTGCAGTAACATGAAAATACAGAAAACAGAGCAAAATTTGATTGAGATCACTGAGATTTGTTCCATACCTACGTAAATGTTAAGAGAGCCTGAAGTGATAGCTGACACACCAAGACTAGCCTCACCTTGTTCAGTCGGATGTTAGGGTGCAAATGTTTTCACTGACAAATGAAGATGGGCTGTGTATCTTCTCTGAAGGCTAATGTGCAAACCCCACAAGGTGCTGCTCAGCCACCCCTCAGCAGAATCTAGCCAGAGCTGTTTAAACACTGCTTTGAGCAGGTTGGGCCAATACAAATATTATAAACTGTGATTAGCAACTAAATTCATGATCTGAGCACAACGAAAGAAAAACTGACCGGCTTGGTATTTCATCACCCCTGACATTTTGAAAATTTGCTTCCAGAATTGCATTTCATTTACTAAGTTCTCACACCCTCTCTTGCTCTCATCTTCATCCAGCAAGGAAGAGGGCAACAGCTTTAAAAAGTTGGAGGAAGAGAATTTGAAGAGAGATGTTTTGTGATAGGACTGGTTGACATAGCTCAGCTCAGAACCACCTCCTTGATTATTATCTGTTAAAGGGATCCATTAAGCAGCTCTCCCTGCCCTATTTGCTTGCTAAGTTGGTTTCATGATTATTCTGTGAGAAGGAAATGGTTCAGTGTAGACATGAACTCATTTGGATTGGAGCCCTCAAGCAAACAGAACTACAGTGGAAATGTTATGCATATGAGTTGCAGTGAGCTGGAAGGAAGCCAAATTTCAGGGGGTACAGTGCTTACTGTAAACTAGATCAGAACAACAGCAGCACCAGATAAGAGCTAGATTGCTCATTACTGCATCACAAAGCCCAAAATGAAGAATTACCAGCATGTGGATCCTTGTTGACTTGCATACCTGAATTTTCGGGAATGCTAATCTGTCTCTTTCTTCTGTTTTCCCAGCTCTTTTGAAATTTGGCTTTCAGTGTTCCAACACTGAAAAGCAGAAAGGATTGCCAGGAATTCTCTTATCACCAGTCCTGTCAAGCCTACATTTCACTCAAGCCTACATAACAAAATAAAACTGGGTAGGGGAGGAATGGATCCAAGCCCAAGCGCATACAGGCCAAGTAACCAAGCGGCAGAAAACAGGGACTCCATCCTCTACAAGATAAACATTATAATTTGTGCATTAATTATAGCTGATTTACCTTCCTTATCCAAGGGCCTGCATTTCCTCCTCCCAACTGGGTTTTGAAGCAAAGGTCTGAGCCTTTATACAAACAAGCTAATGGATTCTAATGGTTCACCCTGACGCAGTATTATTTAATCACGGCAGCACTCCATTTTCCCTGCTGTATTCCGGGGAAGGAAAAGAGAGGAAAAAAAAAAGACTGCATCCACATTCAATTGTCTCATCTAAACACCTCTTATTTCAGTTTTCAAATTCCATTATTTCCCTTGTAGTC